GTCAATTATTTGCCGACCCCCACAACATTTTGTAGAGATATGTTAGATCAAACAAAACTAGTTTATGTCGAATTTCATTGATCTACTAGTATTTTTAAGCCAGTACTGAGTTTTAAAGTCATTTTCTGAAGGGGTCTTATATGGGGGAGGGCCAATTATAGACCGTTCCTCGAAAAATTTTGTAGAACAATCTTGGTTCATACAGGTCATGTTTACATCGAATTTTATCGCTTTACTCGTTTAAGCCAGTAATGAGCGTTGAATTATTTTTCTGATGGGGATCTTACATGTGTGGGGGGGTTAATTAAGGCCCGATCCACAAAAAATTTGGTTAAGTGATTTTGGCTTGCACGGAACTTACTTGAGTCGAATTTTATTGCTATACTCGTATTTTTAAATCAGTAATGGACCCCAAAGTCATTTTCTGAAGGGAACCTTATATGGGGGGAAGGGTCAATTATGGACCAATCCACATAAAATTTATTGGAGAGAATTTCACTCGTATAAAATTTACTTATATAAAATTTCATCGCTATACTCGTATTTTTACGCCAATAATGAGCGTTAAAGTCATTTTATGAAGGGGACCTTATATAGGGGGTAGGGTCAATTATGGACCGATCCACATATAGTTTGGTGGAGAGATATTGGCTTGCATGAAACTTACGTGTGGCAAATTTCATCTCTATATTCGTATGTTTAAGCCAGTAATCGGCATTATAGTCATTTTCAAAAGGGGACCTTATATGGGGGTAGGGCCAATTATGGAGATTTTGGCTCATATAAAACTTACTTCTGTGAAATTTCATCGCTATACTCGTATTTTTACGCCAATAATGAGCGTTAAAGTAATTTTATGGAGGGGACCTTATATGGGGGGTAGGGTCAATTATGGACCGATCCACATAAAATTTTTGGAGAGATTTTTACTCGTATAGAACTTACTTATGTCACATTTAATCGATATACTCGTATTTTTACGCCAATAATGAGCGTTAGTCATTTTTTGTAGGGGACCTTAAATGGGGGGTAGGGCCAATTATGGACCGATCCACATAAAATTTGGTAGAGTTACTTCTTCTTCTGTGAAATTTCATCGCTATATACGTATTTTTAAGCCAGTAATGAGCGTTAAAGTAATTTTATGGAGGGGATCTTATATGGGTGGTAGGGTCTATTATGGACCGATCCACATAAAATTTGGACTTATGTCAAATTTCATCGCTATACTCGTATTATTACGCCAATAATGAGCGTTAAAGTCATTTTCTGAAGGGGTGAGTAAAATTTCGTATGTTTAAGCCAGTAATCAGAATTATAGTAATTTTCAAAAGGGGATCTTATATGGCGGGTAGGGCTAATTGTGGTCCTATGTCCGACATAATTCGGAGGTCAAAAAACTGACTTATGCGAAATTTTGTGCCATTTGCTTCATAAACAAGGAATTTGTGAATGTTTGAAGCTCTTTATACAATATTCGGGGGGTACATTTGTATGAGGGCTATGTGAAATCGTTGAATATTTTGGGAAAATTTCATTTCAATATCTCTTTTTTGTGGACGCTATCGTGCTAACAACAGGCAGACGGAGGGACATAGCTACTAGATCGTCTTAGAATCTTACGAGGTCCCAGAATATATATACTTTATGGGGTCTGTGAACAATATTTCGATGTGTTACACACGGAATGACAAAATCTTTTTTGATGGTGGGTATAAAAAGGTCGGTATTTCTAGGCGTGGCAAAAAAATATTTTTTTATATTTTTGGAAATGTTATTAACATATCTTTAACTGTCTCAACTTTTTTTTTCGACCCACCCTAATGAGTATGTTTGTGTATAAATAAATCATTATATTAAAATGTTTGCAACTGGTCTATTTATATAAAATTTTATGAATCTAATCAAAATTAGTTAGCATCTGGTGTTGAGTAGGCGCATTAATTTAAGGTTTTTTTATAGCCAGTTTACCGCCGAAGGAGGGCGTTGTGATAAATATTAGTTTTGATAGATACTAATAATTTATCATAAACTGATGTTGTTGATTGGCAGCGGCTGGGGATCGAACCAAGGGCTCGCTAACCAAATCATTCTTTGTGATCAACGTGCTAACCATTTAAGCTACAGGACCCTCAAATAAGTCAGAACACCGATCGCCGTTTCGAAACGATAAATAAACAACTAAATCGCGTTGATAGAAACAAACTTTTCAATATCAATAGTTTTTTGCTTCTCCTGTAAAATTTTAAAAATGCTAGATAGGGCCGTTTGCAAAAAACAGGTTAATTTAGCTGTATTTTTGCTGTGTCGCGTTGCTTTAGAAAAATATGTATCTTTTCGAATTCGTTAACTAGATTAATTAATAGTTATTTTGAAAAATAACCGAATTTTTAACGCGTTCTAGCGCGACTTATTAGCACAGCATCCGTCTATGCAAAATTTCAAATTGGTCTATAAGTTGCAATTTCACTTTCAATAATTCGGAATGATAAATATAGCCTACTTCGTTTTTTTCATATAAGTACGGCAAGTGCTTTAACTAAAAAGTTCCTATAAAAATCTTAGCGGACGGACAAGATTTGATCGCCCCAAAAAGTGATTTTAAGTTGATCAGTGCACCGAAATGTGCGTGAGGATCCATTATTTACGGTGCCAGATTAACTACTGTAAATAAAATAATATTATTGTGGTTTTATGATTTAAATCAATATAATTTGAAAGACATAGGACTTTTTGCTAAATCCTAAACCAATAAAGATATCGATAAATGCTTTTGCGCAAATAAGTACAACAAAATTGCAATAATAAAAAAAAAAATCGAAAAATTCCACATAGTACTAAAATTCAAAACACAAAAAAATAACAATAACCAGTGTTGTTGTTGCTCATTTATCAAAGCATGCAAAAAATTTCCTTTTTTATGAAATTTTCAGAGGTTGTCTCGGATGTTTGCTTATATCCCCGTTATTTATGGACGGATTTTGCTGATTTTAAATAGGAAACTTCTCGAAAGCATGCCTGACAGAATGATTGAAGATTTGGATACCGAAGATACTGGGGTCTTCAGAAAACTGATTTCAACAGACACACAGACGGTCTGACAGACAGACTCCGCTATCTATACCCAGCAAAAAATAATTGATGTCATACTTTACAAACTACATCATAATCACATCTTAAAATGCAATTACATATTTTTCACTTTTATAAACCAAATATTTCCTTACAAATGAAAACCCAGTTAAAAGTGAGGAAAGAAATGTGGAAAAGTTATTACAAATAACATATTTGAAGTACATCAAGATTTGGTGAAAGAGTAGTGAAATTTACATAAGCGTGTCATTAAGAGAATGTGTTTTATTTTTGACATCCAAATATCGGATTTTTACTGCTTCTAAAAATAAGATTAGATATAGTTCAAAGTTGCTAAAAATGAACAACATCCCTCCAATGACACGCTAATTTAAAATTCATAGGTTTTACACCCGAATTTGAAGCACTTCGGGTTACTAGTTGTGATGAAAAGTTGCCAAAAATGAACAACATCCCTCCAATGACACGCTAATGTAAAATTCATAGGTTTTACACCCGAATTTGAAGCACTTCGGGTTACTAGTTGTGATGAAAAGTTGCCAAAAATGAACAACATCCCTCCAATGACACGCTAATGTAAAATTCATTGGTTTTACACCCGAATTTGAAGCACTTCGGGTTACTAGTTGTGATGAAAAGTTGCCAAAAATGAACAACATCCCTCCAATGACACGCTAATGTAAAATTCATTGGTTTTACACCCGAATTTGAAGCACTTCGGGTTACTAGTTGTGATGAAAATACTACATCTTTTACCACATTTTTTTTTTTTTGCTGGGTAAGAATTCAGAATATATATACTTAATGGGGTCGGAAAACTGTATTCTGGAAATTACAAACGAGAGAAGGGTATAATTATAGAAATTTTTCAACATTTTGGTAAAAATTAGCTAAAATTTAGGCATATATGTATCTTAGAAAGCAATATGAATCCCAATCTAAAATTTTACATAACTTAGTTTTCACTCTCGTCACACACGTGATTCGGTGACTATGGGAAAAATTCTATAATTTTGAAATGAACTTCCTCAAATTGTAAATAATAAAAAATAATTGTAATAATTGTAAGTACTTTAGTAAGCGTGTTAAACCAAACGTTTAGAAAGATAAAGAAGGAACTTTCCCGAGCATCATGAATTAATAGTTCTATTTGTATGTATGTATGTATGTATGTATGTATGTATGTATGTATGTATGTATGTATGTATGTATGTATGTATGTATGTATGTATGTATGTATGTATGTATGTATGTATGTATGTATGTATGTATGTATGTATGTATGTATGTATGTATGTATGTATGTATGTATGTATGTATGTATGTATGTATGTATGTATGTATGTATGTATGTATGTATGTATGTATGTATGTATGTATGTATGTATGTATGTATGTATGTATGTATGTATGTATGTATGTATGTATGTATGTATGTATGTATGTATGTATGTATGTATGTATGTATGTATGTATGTATGTATGTATGTATGTATGTATGTATGTATGTATGTATATGTATGTATGTATGTATGTATGTATGTATGTATGTATGTATGTATGTATGTATGTATGTATGTATGTATGTATGTATGTATGTAGTATGTATGTATGTATGTATGTATGTATGTATGTATGTATGTGTCTATGTATATATGTACGTATGCACATATGTATGTCTACATACATCTAGTATTCTATTATAGGTAATTGGTTATTCGCATGACAGTCTTAGTTTTAAGATTCATACTAGCATGAATGAACAAATTGCATGACTAGCTATAGTAATTACTAAAATACAGTAATATTAACTACATTTGTTTAGTTTTTTATATGTACATATGTATCATTAGTTCTTCTTTGAAAATACATATAAATTAAATTTAATTTTATTTAACACTATTTAGCTAATGGAACCATATCCAGTGAAGAACGAATAATGCCACCTGTGCCGCCAAGTCCATATTTAAGTCAGTTGCAGGGAATAGAAATGAATGGTTTAGCAGAAAGTCTCGTTGGAGGTGTAAGTAATACCTTTATCTTTATACAGTTCACATTCGCACGTTGGGTTGAAATGGATCAAAATTATAGAATTAATTTTTTATATTAGTACTAGCTAACCCAGTGTGCTTATCTACTCGTCAAACAATACCAATAAAAAAAACTTAAGATTTTTCATATTTCTTTTTAATTCACATTTTTTGCTCGACAATATATGTACAGTGTCTCATATAAATATTCGAATTTAGTATTTTTATGAATTACTTTGTGCTACATTGAAAATAATAATAATATTAATATTTTTTTTAATGAAATATTATTAGTTTTTATTATTTTTACGAAATACAAGCAAAAAGTAATAAAAACTCTTTCATGGTTATATGGAATATTTAACATTACATATTTTGGAAAATTGCATAATTATGTTGTAAATTCTTCATGTGTAAGAGCATAAAATGTTCAAAGAAAACGGGTTTATAAATTCAGATTAAAAAATAAATGTATATCTCTATAATCAATGCTGATCAATTAAATACATATAGGAAATGTTTGATAGATTCTCTTCAACAATATATTTTGTCATTACACGCATGGAACAAAGAATTCCATCGAGTATTTACCATTATCAGGTCGTCCAAAACTGCTGTCAATACAGGACGGTAGAGAAGTTTGGAGCTGATAAATAAAGGTCCCTTTATCTATCAGCTCCAAAAATTAACCACGAACTCATGATAGTCCTGTGAATAAAAATTAGTGACGAAATTGTGCGCAGAGTACCATGTTGGAAACCTCTCATATCGAAGGTAATCGATGGTAAGTGTATTGACTCCGTAAATAGGCTCAGAAATAAAGATATTAAATTCTGGAAGGAGGTTATCTTCAGCGATAAGAACAAATATAATATTACTGGCTCGGATGGTCGTCAAATGGTATGGCGAATGCTTGGAGAAGCCTTGGAATTATCTAACATAAAACCAACTGTGAAGGATCTAAGTTGCTCTGTCATAGTTTGGGGTTGTGTGTCCGATCACGGTGTTGGACTGCTAAAATTTACTTATATATTTATAGACTAGAAGTTTGAGTTTTCAATTTTAGAGCAGAATATTCATGCTAGTACCACCAAAAGGGGCTACAATCCATTCAATTTATTTTTTAAGAGAAAACGATCCAAAATACACGACCTGGTACGTGAAAGTGTGGATCATTTACAACACTAAGTATTTTCTTTCACCAAATGTTCAATGGATTTAATGTCTGGACTTAAACTCCATTGAAAATTTGTGGTTATATTCTCAATAACAACTTTTGAATCACTCAGTATCCTATAAAACCATCCTACGGTTGCTTTGCATGAAGAATGGGACAAAATAAGAACAATTACATAAATTAAAAAAAAAACAAATGCTATATTTTTACTTCATAATGCTAATCTAAATATGATGTATACAAAATATTCGAATACTTTTGTGAAGCAATTTTATGCACTTTTTTTAAAAAAAAGCTCAATTAGTTTAAGTAAATTATTTTTTTTTAATTTTTAAAAATGTTATATAAAATGTAAGGACTGTCTGGACAACATAATAAATTTATTTATTTTTCCCACAAAATCTATTATAAAATGATGGTTGTTTTCATAATACATTTAATTGGAATACTTATGTGAGACCCTGTATGTATATAAGAGGTGTCCAAAAATTTAAATTTTGCTTGGATGGGTCTCATTTTGTTCTTTAGTATCTAACTGGTTTAAAATTTCAGCCAAATCGGATAACGGGAACCCGTGCTGGAAATCGATTGAAAAGTGTAGAATTGGGTAAATTAGAAAACTTGTTCAAAAATTCTACCACTAAAATTATGTATATATTTTTAACATTGCAACCTAGAAATATTTTTTTAATATATGGCTTGGGAAATTATCAATAACCTTGTTGTTTGTCCTTTGATATAAATGTAATTATATGTTTATACTTCTTTGGATAGATAATTTTCTCTAGAAAAGAAGATTAGGTAAAAAAGTTAAGAAAATTTAATAATAGCATAATTATTGAAGAAATTAAAAACAGTCCTACTATTTACCCTGAATTTTGAAAGATTCTATTTTGAAAAAAAAAAATTGAATTAATAGATTAATATTTGACAATGCACCATGATACAATAAACAGGTATTATATACCCCCTACGATTAAAGATATGTTAATAAGATTTCCAACAATAGAAAAAATAGTTTTTCCCACGAATAGAAATACCGCCCGAAATAAAATAATTTTATTGTGGGCTCGACCCTATTTTATACCAACAATGAGTTGATTTTTAACAAATTTGTCTCAGATAAAACTTAAATAAAATCCCAGAAAAATTTTGAAAGATTCTATTTTGGAAAAAATAATTGAATTAATAGATGAATATTTGACAATATTCCAATTGACCAGCACCATGATACAATAAACAGGTATAATATACCCCCTACGATTAAAGATATGTTAATAAGATTTCCAACAATAGAAAAAATATTTTTTCCCACGAATAGAAATACCACCCTTTTTCTTTTTTATATATTACGCCGCTATTTTAAGTTCGATCGTAACATATCATACATCAATATTTATGGCTTGACGTCTGTGCACGACTTCTGATACATCGGATCCTTCCCCAAAATCTGAAATTGTGGCTATACATACGGTGACCATATTTTATGATTAAAATACAGAGCAGGAGAAAATAAAGTACACTAACCACCATTTTCTAAATCACGTTATTTTTAACTGTCAAAATTTCAAATGTCAATAAAGTTTTAAACAATGTATAACAAGTAGTCCGACTCTTAATTACACGAAATTGCACCTCCACTTTTACGGGTCCACTATGTGACTTCAACACCCGGGTGATAAAT